TTTACAAAAAAAAAGTGAAGCCAGTTTTAATCTAGTAGTATAAATAAAATATAAATGTGATTAAGTTATTATTTTATTAATTAATCAATTATCATCACACAAGAATCTTTAGTTCGGATCTTTTTAAAGGCCCCCCCCCTGCGGTCGAAGTCTGCGCACGCCTATGGTTGCTATTGCTGCAGCATCAGAGATTGTATTACTCCCTTGATATCTCCCAGAGAACAAACATGCACTAAGGAGTCTTCAGGGGATGTTATAGSTCTTTTAGCGAGGGTGTTTGCTGTTTCGTTTCCGGGGATTCTGGTATGGCTAGGAATCCATAGCAGTGAGGARATGTTTTGATTGTTGTGATTTAGAAGAGAGATTTGATTTTGAATCATTCTGGATATGGTATTGGGTTGGTTTATGTTTCGGATGCTGTTATAGTACTAAGAGAGTCGTTTAATGAGAGCGTTTTATCTATTTTGAGTTGTTAATTGTTTCAAGTGCATGATAGATCGCATATGCTTCTGCTGCGTAKATTGAGCAGAAATCGAAAAATTTGATCATTTTTTATGCTTTGTTGAAGTATACTAATGCCTCTACCCCTGCTTCAGTTTTGGACCCGTCGGTGTATAACTTATGGTGTAATTCTGGTAGTCTTCAAGTTATGAAAGAGTCAAATTTCTAAAAGTATAGTCCATAGCCTCATTTTTGATGTGTTGAGAAAGATCAGTATTGGAGTGTGTAGTTCCATTAACTAAGGAGGAGAGAGTTCATATTATTATAAATTATTTATTTGTACAGTTTTGGTTACATGAAATTTTGAACYGAACAACATTTCTGGTGCATGGCAAGCACATTTTTTACTTTTTTAGTGTAACGACCAGTTTTGACGTCAGCCGTCAGTAGATAKGCGTTTAATATTGGAAAAGATTATTAGATATTTTAATGACTATAATAATTAATAATTACTATTTCAATAAGATGTACAATATTTTCTCTCAATAATATTGAATCACYAGAAATCTAAAGACTATAGATGAGCTCGAAGAACATGTTTTTCTGACTGATTTATAGTTTGTACATGTACTGCAAATAAGTCAGTATTAGTTCTGCATATTGACATATTGTACTATAGTACAGTTTGAATTATTTGAACGTCTGTCTGCCAAGTATATTAGTATTCAATTAAATCAACGCATTTATGTGGGTAAATATACTATTTCCGTTAAATTGATTAACTGTACAGAAACTATTATACCTATATAGTTTATGACGATGTACCTGTAAATTCACTTAGAAAAGTTCTAATCCTCGTTAACAGCTGATCGTTGATTTCAATAAAACAGTACTGACCTTACTCAAGTTTTAT